ATTCATCCTGGAAGAAGAGTGAGGGACACTGCTCAGTGAAAAGCCCTGGTTGATACTATACCAGGAAAAGTCAGGGTCTATTCACAAGTCTCAGAATCCACCCTAGGGCATTGAGAGTATATCCCCCAAAAGAAAGGCACACAGTTTATTTCTCAACTATATACTGGACATATGTCCAACATCAGATTCAGGGTCCTCCAAAATGGAAGTCAAAGTCTGTTCTACACACCGTTTCTACTTAATAGCAGCAATCTTGTCCCTGTGCTCTTCCACAAATTCTTTTTTCTTTCTCTCTTTTTCAAATTATGTTTAAGTATACAATTCATGTATTTCATATATGCAGATCTAGGAACATAATGACACTTCCCACCCTACCCTCCCTCCTGCCCATGCTCCAACAATTCTTCTTCCTACCTCTCTTATTCCTACTCTTAATTTTTACAAAGATCTATTTTCAGTTTACTTTATGCTCATAAGTTTAAGCATACACTAAGTAAAGAGTTCAACAAATAGTATGAAGAAAAAACACTGTTCCTCAACAGTAGAGACAAGGGCTGTAAATGACCATCAAATCTCAAAATATCCATTTCACTCCAATACATTACATTTCAGGTACTCTATTAGTTACCCCAGATCAGAGAAAACATATGATATCTGTATTTTTGGGACTGGCTTATTTCACTAAGTATAATGGTTTCCAGTTTCGTTCATTTTGTTACAAAAGACAAGATTTCATTTTCTTTTTTTTAAAGCTGAGTAGTACTCTATAGTGTACATATATCATAATTTCTTTGTTCAGTCATCAGTTGATGAACATCCGGGTTGATTCCATATCTTAGCTATTGTGAACTGAGGTGCTATAAACATGACTGTACAGATAACTTTTTCTTATACTGATTTCTTTTGGTTTGGGTAAATTCCCAAGAGTGGGATGGCTGGATCATATGGTAGATCTATTTTCAAACTTCTAAGGTATCTCCATAATGTCTTCCACCACGGTGGCTGTACAGTTTTATGTTCCCACCAACAGTGGATTCAGGTACACCCTCCCCATATCCTCCCAAGGTTTTCTTGCTTGTTGATTTCTGTATGTAAGCCATTCTAACCTTTTTGTGGTTTTTGAGTTCCATTTTCCTATGGCTAGTGATCTTGAATATTTTTTCAAGTATTTGTTGGCCATTTGAATTTCCTAAAGAGCTCAAGAAATTCAACAACAAAATAACAATCAGTTAAGAAATGGGCAACGAACCTGAACAGGCATTTTTCAAGGAGAAAATTCAAATGGCCACAAATTCTTCATCAAATGATTCTCATGGATGGTTTCCAGGATTCACATATATGAAAGACACTGTAGGGAAGTCACTGTTGCCCAGGTTCAAAATTCCATTCAGTAGTTTCATGACTGTGTACCTGGGTCAAGTCACTGAGCCTGTTCATGTCTCAACTGCCACACTGAAAAACTGGAATAAAGGACCAACCTTATATAGTTATTGGGGAAATTAGATAAGTCAATGTTTGTAGTATGCTTTGAATGATGTTGATTTTCCAAGACAGTGTCATTTATCCACCTGAGACCATTTTCCTAGCCACAGAGTGAGTGCCCTGTAAACATGAGGAGTTAAGCCTCACTTGTATTCTTATCACCACAGTGCCAGCTCTCATTGGAAATTTGGAAGCACAGGAGCAGAACTCTTATCCTAGAGTGCAATGAATAGTAAAGCACCTGGGTATATTAAGCTGTTCAATACCTGCCTCCAGGATATTCTGCTTTGCTTTTTGTATGCCTTCAGTGATTGTTAGTAACCAAGTATTCCCAGTATTACCTCATTTAGTTTCTGGTTTCTCAGCATTCTGTTGTCCTGGAATTGATAAAATGACTCACAGTGACATCACTGAAAAGGAGTTTTCCCATCAGGAAAACACTCGGCATGGAAGACTGGGGTTGAGCAATGGGCCAAGTTCCACATCACCATGGTCCCCTACATCTTGGCTTCCTGTTGGGTCTCTGCATTTGCACTTAAACCTAAGATTCATGGATGCTACCAGGAAAAGAGGGATTACCTCCTTCATCTTCTAAGAACCTTCTGTTGTGTCCCTTCCTCTTTTTGGGTGACAGAGGGGGAGGCCGGCCCCATTGTCATTTCAAGTCCTCCATGAAATGTCGTTTTCATTCTCTCTGTCAGGTTTCTGTATCATTCATTAGGTACTCACATGGCCAGTGAGAAGCAAAGAACAAGTTGCCAATAGTCTATTTTTTCATTAAGATGCACTTATTTATTTTGAAAGTCAGAGTTACAGAGAAAGAGAGGGGGAGAGAGAGAGAGAGAGAGAGAAATTTTCCATCTGCTGATTCACTCCCCAGATGGCTGCTATGGTCAGCCCTGGTACAGGTCAAAATTAGGAGTCAGGGGCTTCATCTGGGTCCCCCACAAGCCTGGCAGGGGTCTAAAAACTTGGACCATCTTCCACTTCTTTTCCTAGGCTATTAGTAGGGAGCTGTATTGGAAGTGTAATAGCTAGAGCATGAATCAGTGCCCATATGGGAGGTCCCACCAATAGTTTCTTGAATATTATTTCAGATTAAGAGGGAAAAATGGGGCAAGTAGGCTCATTGTTTGAGATTATCAAATAAGTCACTTCCAAAGGAAAGGAGAAGTGGGAGTATCATAATTCTAGTAGAATGATGGTAGATGGCTGGGATGGCTGGGGAATCAGTTGCCACTTTTTTTTTTTTTTTTTGGCCAGGCAGAGTTAGACAGAGAGAGAGAGAGAGGGAGACAGAGACAGAGACAGAGACAGAGACAGAGACAGAGAGAAAGCAGAGAGAAAGGTCTTCCTTCCGTTGGGTCACTGCCCTAATGGCCAAGCACTTGGGCCATCCTCCGCTGCCCTCCTGGGCCACAGCAGACAGCTGGACTGGAAGAGGAGCAACCAGGACTAGAACCTGGGGTGCCAGCACCACAGGCAGAGGATTAGCCAAGTGAGCTACGGCGCTGGCCAGCTGCCTCTTTCTTACAATGATGTCTTCTCAAAATGTCCCTGACTTCTTGTTGGAGAGTGGCATTTAGATGCTGGTATTGACAAGGGTCACTATTCCATGATATCATATGTGACTGATACCAGCAATCTCACTCCATGCTGAGGTTCAAAATCCATAATATAGGTTCTTTGTCCCCTGGAAGGTAAAGGTCTCTCTGTATCCATTGCTTTTATTTTATTCCAATCCATTTTGTTCTCGGTGATCATTTTAAGGCCTTGTTCTAATCCTTTCAGTTTGTCTTCCTGGGTCCATCAAGTCTGAATTTGCCCTTCTGTTGCTTCCTTGATTTCAGATCCTAAGGTTTCTGGTCACTACACCCTTCCAAAAGCCCAGTGCCCCCAACTTATCTGAGGTTATGCATGATATTACAGTGGGACAGACCTCCAAAATTTCTACTTAAAAGTGAGTCTGAGGGGCTGACGCCAGGGCTCACTTGGTTAATCCTCTGCCTGTGGCGCAGGCATCCCATATGGGCGCCGGGTTCTAGTCCCAGTTGCTCCTCTTCCAGTCCAGCTCTCTGATGTGGCCTGGGAAGGCAGTGGAGGATGGCCCTAGTGCTTGGGCCCTGCACCCACATGGGAGACCAGGAGGAAGCACCTGGCTCCTGGCTTTGGATCGGCACAGCACTGACCATAGCGGCCATTTGGGGAGTGAATCAACGGAAGGAAAATCTTTCTCTCTGTCTCTCTCTCTCACTGTCTATAACTTTACCTGTCCAAAAAAAAAAAAAAAAAGTGAGTCTGAGTTTCAAAACTTTTCACACACGCCAATAAAGATTCTCATAAGGTGAAATGGGACATTTTATCCACTTGCTCTGAAATGGTGCTATAAAATATGACTAAGTATTCAGAGAATGCTGGATGATTATGAATTAAAGCTACAGTTTTAACCTCTCTTCCATGTCCCATTTCTTACTCTTCTATTATTTTTCCTTATTAATAGCTTTCCTTTGCTACTCTTATTTGTCTATATTAATCTAGGTGAGTTTTTTTTAAAGGTAACTATTGTGGTCCTTTAAGGCCTCATAATGTAACACAGCAGTTAACAACTTGGATTTTGAAGCCAGGAAACATTTTTCTTTTTTTTATTATTATTTATTTGACAGATAGAGTTAGACAGTGAGAGAAACAGAAAGAGAAGTCTTCCTTCCGTTGGTTCACCCCCAAATGGCCACTACGGCCAGAGCTATGCCGATCCAAAGCCAGGAGCCAGGTGCTTCCTCCTGGTCTCCCATGCGGGTGCAGGGCCCAAGCACTTGGGCCATCCTCCACTGCCTTCCCAGGCCCCAGCAAATAGCTGGACTGGAAGAGGAGCAACTGGGACTAGAACCTGGTACCCATATGGGATGCCAGTGCCTCAGGCGGAGGATTAACCAAGTGAGCCACGGTGCCGGCCCCGCCAGGCAGCATTTTTCAAATCCCAGGCCCTTCTCTTAGCTAGCTTGGGTTATGTCTCTTCTCTCATCTCTACCTCCCTTGGCCACAACATCATCTTAAACAGAGTGTACTTCCCTCTTCCTTAACTTTGGACTCACCCATGTGACTTGCTTTGACTAATTTTGTAGGGGTAGCAGTGTCTCTGTGCTAGTTCTGAGCCTAAGCCTTCTGCAGCCTTATAGGTTCCACTTTTCTGCTCTCATTTCCATCATCTTCATGGAAAGACCATGCCACAGCTGGCCCACTGGCCCAAGAAGGATGAAAGATGCCATGCAATGGGGCTGCTTGAGTCCAGCTTAGTGTAGTTCACTTCTTATAAACCCACAGATGTGTGACCCACATAAGAGTTTACTCTTGTATGCCACCAAGAATCATCTGTCATTAAAATAACAGTGAAATGAACTTTTTTTGGCTTCCTAGCTGGAAAAGAAGGGATCATTATTTTATCCTTTTAAACAGGTTTGTGGGGAGAGTAAGTGAAACAGTGACTAATGGTGGGTTCACCAGAAGGGATCGGCACTCACCTGTTATCACCGCTCCTGTGTTCTGGGGACTAATGCTCATCCCCTTAGTCCACCTGTGCTTCAATTTTCCCACCTGCTAAGAGGAGAAGGATGAGGTTTACCTGGGAGAAAATTCAAAAAATTGAAAGGTACTGTATAAATATGACACTGTCAATTCCACCGCTTTCAGATAGAGAAACAAAAATGAGTTCCCAATGATATGCTGAACTGGCCCACGCTAGAGAGAAGCTGGAGGGTGACCACTTCTTTGAAAGCTCAAGTCCGAAAATACTTATGTGAACACACAGCCTCTGCTACCAATTAGGAAAGGAAGACAAAAGGCAGCTTCCAGGAACTGATGATCAAGATAAAAACAGGGATCCAAAGACAAGGGCCACTGGTGAAAAACCATAATCCAGAGGTAAGGGATCCAGCCCTGGAAGAGACCCTGTGGCACTATATTTTACTACTATTTTTTTTTAAACTTTTATTTAATGCATATAAATTTCCAAAGTACGACTTATGGATTACAATGGCTTCCCCCCCATACCGTCCCTCCCACCCACAACCCTCCCCTTTCCCACTCCCTCTCCCCTTCCATTCACATCAAGATTCATTTTCGATTATCTTAATATACAGAAGATCAGCTTAGTATACATTAAGTATGGATTTCAACCGTTTGCTCCCACACAGAAACATAAAGTGAAAAATAATAGATGATTTTTTTAAATGATGATGAAATCAGAGCAGACCTATTGTCATGTTTAATCCCAGTGAGAGTCAAGTTGGGAATTGATAATTTCTTTTCTTTTTTTTTTTTTTTTTTACAGAGGATCAGTTTAGTATGCATTAAGTAAGGATTTCAACAGTTTGCACCCCCATAGAAACACAAAGTGAAATATATTGTTTGAGTACTCGTTATAGCATTAAATCTCAATGTACAGCACATTAAGGACAGAGATCCTACATGAGGAGTAAGTGCACAGTGACTCCTGTTGTTGACTTTACCAATTGACACTCCTGTCTATGGCATCAGTAATCTCCCTATGCTCCAGTCATGAGTTTCCAAGGCTATGGAAGCCCTCTGAGTTCTCCGACTCTTATCTTGTTTAGACAAGGTCATAGTCAAAGTGGAGGTTCTCTCCTCCCTTCAGAGAAAGGTACCTCCTTCTTTGATGACCTGTTCTTTCCACTGGGATCTCACTCGCAGAGATCTTTTGCCAGAGTGTCTTGGCTTTCCATGCCTGAAATACTCTCATGAGCTTTTCAGCCAGCTCCGAATGCCTTTAGGGCTGATTCTGAGGCCAGAGTGCTATTTAGGACATCTGCCATTCTATGAGTCTGCTGAGTATCTCACTTCCCATGTTGGATCACTCTCCCCTTTATTTACTCCATCAGTTAGCGTTAGCAGGTACTAGACTTGTCTATGTGCTCCCTTTGACTCCCAGTCCCTTCACCATGACCAACTGTGAGCTGAAACTGATCACCTGGAACAGTGAGATGGCATTGGTACATGCCACCTCGATGGGATTGAATTGGAATCCCCTGGTATGCTTCCAACTCCACTACTATTTTAATGTAGTTCTTGCAAATCATCTCGCCCTGGATCTGATCGTACAATTTTTCCATATCTGGAATCCCCTGTGAGGGCTGTGGGGCTGCCACCATGACATTGTCAGCAAAGGTGGGATCTCCTCCCCCCATGAGAAGGCTGTTTCCCCAAATTGTTTTTGTTAGGCTTTTCCTCCAAGGGAGAAGACAACGGACAGGTCCCAACAGGTGCCACAGCGGACCCAGCTTCAGCTTTGTTTCCCTGGAGCCATACTGAGGCCAGATGTTATCAGAGCTTTGCAAATGTGTGACTGAAAGTACAGGATTTTCAAAGGATGCATGTTGAAACCTATTTTTAATCTGAGGCTAGGAAATGGAACAGAGGGAAAATACTTCCTGGTCGTTCCTTACAGGTGCCAAGCTCAAGGTTCTGCTCATTTGAAGATATTCCTATGGCCTCTCTTTCTCCCTGAAACAACCAGGATGCTCAAACCCAGTCTAGCAACAGCAGGTATTTTTAATTAAATGATGTTAAGGTCACTTTAGGGGGGAGAAGGGCAGTGTGTGGCACGTGGGTTAAGCCACCACTAGCAATACTGGTATCCCATATCAGAGTGCCAGTTCAAGTCCCGGCTGTTCCATTTCCAATCCAGCTGCTTGCTAATGCACCTGAGAAAGCAGTGGACAATGGCCCAAGTACTTGTGTTCCTACCACCAATGTGAGAGACCTGGTTGGAGTTCTGGGCTCCCAGCTTTATCCTGGACCAGCTCCAGCTATTAAAGCAACCTGGGGAGTAAACCAGCCTATGGAAGATATCCCACCCCCTTCTCGCTGGCCCTCTGCCTTTCAAATAAATAAGTAAATGTTTTAAAAGAAGATGACTTTAGCCGGCGCCGCGGCTCACTAGGCTGATCCTCCATCTGCGGCGCCAGCACCCTGGGTTCTAGTCCTGGTTGGGGCGCCAGTTCTGTCCCGGTTGCTCCTCTTCCAGTCCAGCTCTCTGCTGTGGCCTGGGAGTGCAGTGGAGGATGGCCCAAGTCCTTGGGCCCTGTGCCTGCATGGGAGACCAGGAGGAAGCACCTGGATCGGCGCAGCACGCTGGCCATAGCAGCCATTTGGGGCGTGAACCAATGGAAGGAAGACCTTTCTTTCTGTCTCTCTCTCACTGTGTAACTCTGCCTGTCAGAAAAAAATAAATAAATAAAAGAAGATGACTTCAGCCTTGGCAAATTGGTGATGGGGTTCCACAGACTTTATTAAATGTATGTATTTTTCTTGGAAAAAAGATACATAAATTTTCAGATATTAAAATATTTTTCAAAGGGTTTATAATTCTTCCAAAGATAAGAAATGCTTATTCATAGGGAACACCATTGAATTAAAAAATCCAGCTATTTTGTAGAAATCAATTCAGTTAATAAGAATACTTCCTCATTTGCCTTTTTCCAGAGATAATCATTTTTTGTCATTTCAAAGGAAAGCTATTGATAGAGAAATCTGTTATCCTGTTCTTTTTCCTGACGATGGGCCCGCTCTCTTCCTAAGCATATTTTATTCTTCTAGCCAAAACCTGACAACTAACCTGCTCGTTAGCAAAGCTGCGCCTTCAAGACACAGTTGCATGTGCTGTGATTTTAAATTTAAACTCATAGGGGCTTTTCTGTGTTCTTGGTGTTCCCTGAAAGAATCTCAGTAGTTATCCGGACACACTGGCAAGGCCGAATCTCAGTAAACAATCACAGGGGAATAACAGGAAGAGCCTGGGCTGTCTCCACCCCTACCTCCGCGGTGCACGTGACTCCTCGGAGTCCTGCGGCCAGTCCCTTAACGGTGTAAATAAGGCTATCACTTCTGCCAGAGATCCCAAGGGCATGATCCGACCGGTGCCAGGCACTCATTTACGGTAAGCGGCGCCTGCTGCCAGCCTCGGAGCGGAAGGCAGGAATAAGGATCGCATCTCTGGGCACCAGGTCCTCCCCGACCTGGTTATTTGCTTTTAATTAAGAGGAGAGTGCAACATCTTTCTTCCCCTTCAGGAATTGGTGTGTTCCAGTTTGGAGGAGCAGGAGCATACTGCTCTGTGCACTTTAGATCTTGGGTTCTAAAGATAGAAGGCCACGACCAAGTCCCTGGTTTCCCTTTGGTGGCGTTGGAGGGATGACAGCAGGCACCCTGTGTGGCTGGTTTTCCAGGAGGTGGCAGTGCGCTCCAAGCCTGTGCTGATTCCCCTACCATCCGGAGAGCATTGTAATTGAGACATGGCACGATAATGCATTCCAGACCACACAGCCACTCCGGTGTCACCTCAAAATATTTCTTACCAGTTTCAAAGTCACTGTAGCCAGGGTAGGGAGACAGAAGCAGGTGCAGCGTGGGGAGATGAGTCGGGGGAGGGACTCTTGGAGACAAATGAGACGGCGACACTTGGCATTGCTGGGAGTGGAGTTTCCTTACAGCAAGGCCAGGAGCTACCTTGATACATATTTACAACCATTCCTGGGTTCACCTCTGAGGACCAATAAAAGGAAATTGAAGGACTTGTATTGTCTGCATTTTAATTTCTGTGTTTACAAGGCAGATTTCATTATTCTAATTCAGGGAGAAATAAAGCATCTTTCCTTTTTAAATGAAGGGTCTCCTTGCTCAGGGTGAAGAGCACAGCAAATCGTCTCTGCCCTGAGAGGCAGGGCTGGCCTCTGCTTGCTGGCAGTGAGGGGCTGGTGATGTGGGCATGATGAGCTGGGGAAGGAAAAAGGCAGACACTGGCCAGGCCGGAATTGCGTGTGTGAGACATGCCTAAGGAGCTGACACACCAACAGCATGACGGGGTGGGGGATGTGATTCCCATGACCTGACAATGACGTCTCAGAGCAGACCGAGGGACAGAGGAACAAGAGGTGCTACACGGAGATTCCTTTCCCCTGAAAGAGGCTGGTTTACAAGACACATCTGTGGGGATGCCTGAATCCAATGAGATCAAAAAAAGGGGCACTGCAGTGACACCTCAGTGTTGTCACATAGTTCACCGGATACATTCATAGCCTAGGAGCCTGACTTTCTATTTCCAGGGTTCTTAACTGTATTAGCTGTATTTGTTTGTTTGTTTGTTTGTTTCTTTGCTTGTACAAAGCTCCTTGGACCTTGCCAGAGACCTCCACATGGACAACAGGACAGTGAGGTGAGCCAGGCAGGTAGGTTGCTTGAGAAATCCATGCAAAGGATAATTATATTTAAAGAAAAACAGCCCAGCCTTTAAATGTCCTTGAATTCCTCTAGCAACTGTATGTAGTTTCCCTTGAATTTAGAAAACTGGTTGCTTTCTGTCTTCCCTAATCCTTTTCCTTTTAAACTTGGTTCTACAGTCTGCCAATCCTTCCTCCTATGAAATTCTTTATTCCACTCTCTTTCCTAATTCTTGGAGTAATCCACACATAAAGTACACAGAAGTAGTGATCTATGCTTGGCTGATAGCACTCAAAATAGGCCAGCTTTTGCAACAGCCAAGGAATGGTTCTTAAGCTAGAAACAAAGCAAATAAGCAAAGAATTCAGGGAAAAAATGACCGTTGAGTGCTGGAGTGATGTTTTCTGACTGCCCTCTGCCAAGGGACCAGTGCTTCCTGGCAGAAACCAGGCTGCTTTCTGGCTGAGTGGAGAGAAGTGCCCATTTTACAGAGTAAAAAACAATTCACCAAGTGCAGAACTGGGGTTGCGGGTACGGAGGTGGTGGCACTTCAAGGGAGCACATCAATAACCCAGTGAAGCAGACAGGGAGAAGCAGACTGGGAGAATCACCAAAACAGTTTGACATTCCAGGTTGAGACTCAACAAAAAGCCAGAGTAAAAAGAAAGACTGCCGCTGGGCAGAGCAGGACACAGAACATTCAGGCTTCTGCAAAAGAATGTGCACCAAGAATCTGATGGAGACTGTGGAAGCAACAAAAACAACCAGGGAAACTCATAAACATTTATGGAGAGGCAGCTGATCCTACAAGCAAAATAAGGAGACATCGGGTGCATCACAGGGGAAATACATGTTAAGTCTCTGCAACCTACACAATAACAGGAATCCCAAACAGAACACGCAGGCAGAACCAGCCCTAATGCGACACCGGCTACTCACCCATGTGAGAAGGATGCCTGGTCCACCCTTAGCCTGCTCCTGTTTCATTGATCTGCATGGGTTGCTTCTGTTTACTTACAGTGTTTGAGAATCCTCAGGATTATATTATTTTCCAAAAATGGCTTTATGTTTGAGTCTCAGTCCAAGGAATCAAGCATTTGCCTGATGCTCAAATATCTGAATCCAGGTAGTTCCCCTTGACCATCTGGCAGGCATGTTGTATCATTAGCCATATTTAAACTCATAAATATCAGCCAGGAAGATTGAGGAGCTGGTGCCAATATGCTACAAATGAGTCACAGAAAACGGTGTTACCATTGCACAGGAAAGGCACAAACCTCAAAAGCACCCCAATCCAAGTCAGTAGGTGTGTGTGTCCATGTCCCTTCCACCCATCACAGAGAGAAGGACCGCAAGGGGCTCCCAAGGGACACCTGGATCAGATAGCTCAGATTGTGCAGCCTGCAGCTTGTCAATGTTTGGACACTAAGAAAGAGTTAAATTTCCTAATCAAATGTGGGAAGACTGGTGGGAGAGACACTGAGACATTGTTTTTGAGAGCATTTTACTGACCTAGGTTTCTTTGTGGTTCCTGTTGGTGGTGACATGTGCATTGTCAGCTGAAAGAGCTGAAAAAAATTGCATTTTCTCCTGTTATTTTTAAGCTTAAAATATAGGGTTAGGATCAGCATCTAAAAACACCTTGTGCAAATTTAAGTATTTTAACAGTGGAACTCTTTGTTTAAACAAAGAAACAAACAAAATCTTAGTTAAACTTTGGGTTATCTGACTGTCAGTAAGAGAAACTATTGAGTTAACTGAGCATATGGGAATTTACCAGAAAGATGTTATAGTGCTTTCACATGACTGCAGGGAGAATGGAAGCGTGAGGGTTGGGATTTACAGGTACCAGGACTAGAAGTGGCAATGAATGAACTCTCACTATTTCTTTTGCCCCTGTGCTCACTAGTCTCAGGGTCAAAATCAAGAGAGAGTATATGTGATTAATCCTGGGTTGCACATTTGTCTGTACCTGAGTGGTGGAGAGCTTCCGGTAGAGGCCAGTAGCTTCCGAGGCTGGTACCAGGACATCTCATGTGGAACAGTTGGGGATGCGGGCAGAGAGCAGAGATGGAAATAATTTCCCAAATGGAAATAAGGGTGCTGTTAGAAATAGGTCAATCACACACACACACTCACACCACTACCACCACCACCACCATCACCAAGTTAAACAGACTAAAGAAGAGGAGGAGAGAACCCAGAACCCTAGGCCTTACCCCTTTATGCAGGTGTATATAGGATGTCTAAGACATTCTCTGGCACAGAATGAAAACCACTCACTTGGATCATCTTTTGACAGTGTGTTATAATGAGATCTAATTTATAATCCTCCAAATTTTTAGAGAATGAACTTTATCTTTTCACAATTTACTTCAAAATTCTTAATGATCCTAGTTATACGTTAAATATCACCTCTGAACATTTACTGCTTTCAAAATCCTACTGTGGAAATCATTAGGGAAATCTGACATCTGTATGGCTGTCCCATGCTAGTTTATGATAGGATGTCCTTCCTCACCTTCTTGATAGTTTACTCTGCCCATATATTGACCAAAGGAAGGTGAGTGAAAGAGATGTGTGTCACTTCCAGAAGGAAGTTGTGAGAGCCAGTGCACAGTAGCTATACTTGCTGACCACTGCTGCTGTGGTCATGCAGGCATGTGTCAAAAAGATGTTCCCCATCAGCCGGGGTCCCTGACCATAGTTGGAAAGATTCCTTTGCTGACCTTGCTGGAGTCATTGAGTGAAGCTGCTGTGCTTGGGAATTGCTCACTGATAATGTGTATTTTCCTTTATTCTCACCTCATACACAAATATATGGTATTTTTACAAAAATACTTGGTCTGAATCCCCTTCTGTCCCACCCCCCACGCCAAAAACAAATTCCTGCTTAGGACGTGTGTATGCTACATTTGGCGAAGGCTTCAGAAAACAGGGACTACTGGGAAGAATCTAAAACTGAGTAAATTAGTATACCTGATTAGTTACCTAATCCAACCTCTTTCTAAGGCAGGATCTACGTATCCCTATTTTGGAATTAGTCAGATGTGAGTTGGAATTCAGGCTCTGCACTTTCAAGTAATGAGATTTTAAGCAAGTCATGAAACTCCTCTAGACCACAAGTCTCTCATTTGTGACATAGGAGTAATAATTTTTTCTGCTTGCAAAATTACTGTGAGGATTTGAAATTGTGTATGTAAGTACTTATCATGGACCTGGCATTTAGGGCATATTCAACAGTGGTCCTGATTACTTCCAGACTGTAGGCTCATCAACCAGGGAGCAAGCCCATTCCATCATAACAGAGCATTGCCCATTGCTAACAAGCTCTTTCTTATTTGGTGCAAATTGGCTCAGCATCTCTGCACTTGGTGTGCTTCCTTTACTCTCTTGAATAGCAGAGATTTCTTCCTATGACAACTTATCAGATACCTGGACAAAGCTACCTTTCCCTTCTAGAAGTCTTCTTTTCTCTTGTCAAAAATATTTTCAGTTCCATTTCTCATAAGATTTCAATTCCAGTCAGCTCATCTAACCTGGGGAATGTAGTTTTAAAAATGTCTGTCTCGAGTGTCTGGTGATTAGTAGGTGCTAAATATATATGCATTCCTCTATTTCCTGAGCTCTGGTTTAGAAGACCTTTAAAGTATGGTGTGTAGAACTGAGCATACCTCTGATTCAAGTGTAGAGTACAGAAAGACAGACCCTTTTCCACTCTTCGTGCCATCTGCTCTGATCTGGATGCTATACCCAAAAATGCCACCCATCAAGGCAAAGCCTTTATTAGAAACCACGTCATGCCATGACCAACTCATGGTCAACTAAAATTACTGGAGTCTTTGATCAAATGGATCATTGTCAAGTTTCTTCCACTCTATGACTACCAGATTGATTGTTAACCCATTACTTATAATTTTCTTGTTCTGGGAACTGTTTAAGTCCACCAAACTCCTTCAGTAGCCGTATTAAGTTATCTAACACATTATTTATTCCTCCCAGTTTAAAGAGTCTCCTGAATCTGGCCAATTCACTGCTTCCATCATTAATAACTCTTTTGCCCAAGGCAGAGATAAAGATCACCTTCAGGCTGGTAGAATTCATGAAGTGACATACCCTGGGATTACAATAGTGGGCACTCAAAATGTAATCTGCCAATGGCCTCTTCTCTCTCACATGACCATAAGGATAGGCTTCCAGGATATGTTTGTGCAATGCTACATCCACCCCAAACCTCTGCTCTGTGGCCAGGATCAATCACTTCAGGGCTTATCTGACACCAGTGGGCCAATCAAAATTCCTTCTCTTGGAACCACAACAAAAAGGGCAATGGAATCTTATCCAATCTCTCAAGTTTAAGAAAGAAAAATATTCAGATCTCTAGCATGACTGTATCCCCCACGATCTCCCCCCTCAACAAAACAAAGATGAAACCAGTGAAACAGGTGCAGAGATGAGAGAGGGAGGAAGACAATGTGGATGACTTCTATGGAGGTTTTCCCTCTGTCCTTCGTGGTACCCTAATTCTTTTATAATACCTCCTCCCTTTTCTATGAAGTCAATCTGGGTGGATGTCTATTACTTGGAATTTGAGTACCTTCTAATTCTTGTAATCCATTGGCTCACTAAACCTATCTTGAGCCAAGGCTCTTCCTGCCATTCCATATGCTAGTTAATTTGTGTTGATTTCTTCCCTCCCCTATACCAAGTGACCTCTGTTTGAAGTCTGGGTCGTTAGTATGAGAGCCTGTGGTTGAGACTCAGGTGATGTGATTTATTGAGGAAATTACTCCAGGAAGAAGTTAAGAGGGCGTGAGGGAATCTACAGGAGGCAGAAAGGACTGAATAGGAGGTAGTGTTTGGTAAAGTCTAGACCTGACCTGGGGGAGGCACAGAAGGCTTCAGAAGCAAGCTGCAACATAGCTCTGTCCCAGCTTAAGGAAAGGGGGCTGGCTTTTTTAGCTCTCTAAATTAGTGATTGGGTGGGGCAGGGGGGGACACTGAGCAAGGTAGTTCCTTCAGCCAATAGCAATCCCCTGAGGAAGGGGTGGAGCTTTAAACTGCTAGCTGCCAATAGTCCTAGCACCTACTAGAGGGCTCTGCAGCCTGGTATAAGAGATGTGAATGAGGCACCAACAGTGTCTATGACAGCATCCTTTATTCTGGTTATTAAATCTATCTTACTGGTTCTAGTAGGCTTTTTCAAGGGTAGTTTCTAATAGACCTCTTGGGACACAAAGAACAATATGAATATGAATTGCCTTTTTTTGCCCTTTTCCGTTATACTTATCATTTTATTGTACTGTAACATACTGAACATCAATAATAGAAGGTCTCAGATAAAAGAGCCCATTTAGGGCAGGGGTGGGTGGTGGTGCTTGTCTTGGTGTGCACATTGCAATAAGTACTTGGGATTTTGATGCTTGTATTCCCCTCCCTCCCCATCATGGCAGCTTCCCAGAATTCATTTGGGGAAAAGCTCCACTCTTAGTAGGTTTGATGCTACTCTGTTCTAAGTGTGAGTTCTGATCAGCTCAAACCCATTCACTCATTTCCAGCACAGCGATTACCTTTGGACATGAGCACATGACCCAGTTTGGATCACTAAAATGCAAGATGTTTCCTAGAGGTTCCAGAAAATAAAACAGTTCCTTGATCTTATGACAAACTAGGAAAGATGCTTTCTCTTCCTTGATGTATGGAAAGGGTTTGATGTTGTTCAGGGCTGAAAAACCCTGCCTAGAACTTGAGCCCAGGAACAACCTGAAGAAAAGATCTAATAGCCAATGTGGACAAAATGCTCTCAGCTTCATGGAGTCCCTCAGAATATGTTGCATCTGTGCCTCAAACCACACCTGAAGCCACGCAGCCTTGAATCCACCCGTATGTGAGTCAACAAATTCCATGCTTTGCTTAAGCCAGCTTCAAATGATTTTTTTTCTTTTTTGTTTTTTTTGAAACATAAACTATCCTAAGTGATAGACTGCAGGGAGTGGGAGGAGGAATGGATTACAGTCGCGGAATGTCACCACCCACTTGTTTTTGGCAAGCTTTCACGTGTAAAACTCCCCTTGAGTCCCATAATTTATTCAGACTTAAAAGCAAGAATAGACAATTCAGCATCCCTGATAACCTCTCATAAAGCATCCTGATCTGGATGCCGTGTACCTAGACCCCCTCTGCAGGCATCTGGCTTTAGGATTTGGTGTCTACTACACTAAGGCATTGAAATAGCATCGCTTCATTTGGAAGAACTCCAATTGTGAGCAAAGCTTTGCAGAAACATCTACAATACAAAAGAAAATGACCTCTCCCATGGGGGTCTCTTCTAAAGTTTATTAATAATACATTTCACTGAAATTGTGTGATGATGTCCTTCTGACAGCACTTTGGAAATCATAAATGTACTCAGGACAGTTTAGGAGTTGCATGTGTCTTTTTCATTCTGGACCCCCACGGTCCCAGGGCTGATTCCCAGGGGGCCAGGTGCAAGGAACACCAGGATTCACAATTTGGTCCAT